GGCTTCGACCGGCGTGAGAAAGAAAGAGAGAAAGACACGCGTGGGGAGGAAGAAGAAGAAAAGGAGGAGGAGAAGGTGGTGGACGCGCGTTGAGCTCGCCTTGACGGAAGAAAGCGAGCGGCTTCGGATGTGTTATCGGCTCTCTCGCGGTCGCTCGCGCGGCGTATAGATGTCCCTCGCCGGCCATTCGTAGCCGCCCCGCTATTGGACCGTGACTCGCGAAAGAGTGGGAGGACCAGGGCGAGATGCGATTGGTGGCGCGCGTTGGCTCCGACGGAAGCGCTCGCGAGGAGAGCGTCGCTCGCTCGCTCGCATCGGCATTCAGACGGTTCGGGACTGTGCAGCGTGCCGGGTCGCCGCGCTGTTCCCTTCTCGCTCTCGGGCCATTTTCAGCAATCCCTCTAATCGTAGTCGCGTGCGTCTCGCGATCGACGCGCTCGCGAATACGTCACATTGTGAAGTTCGACGAACGCGCCCGTCGGCGGTCAGCTGTGGAAAATCGGAGCGCTCGGCGACGAGACACGTGACCGACTGTGCGCGCAAGTTTCCAGGGAACGTGTCCCACTCGCGGTGGTGCGACGGGGAGAGAAATAGGTAAATCGAGGGTAGAGAAAGAGCGAGAGGACGCGACGGGAAAGAGGAAGAAAGAGAGGGAGACGCAGTGACATACGCGCGCGCGCGCGCTCAGGCCGGCCGCGATCAGGTGACAAGTCCGTCGCGCACTCGGGGTGCGACCTCCCGCCCCGTCGTTGCGCTCCGAAGGAATATTGGAGCAGTCGCCGTTTGGCATCCGCGCGGTACACTCTTATTACGTGCCTACGTGCTCCCGTGTTTACACACGCGCAACGCGAGCTTTGTTCTCCTTGTCACGAGACGAGGAGTCACACGTGCGTCGGACCTACCGTTGGTACGATAAGCGGCTTGTGTTATCAATCGTCAAACATCCAACTGTGCTCCCCTCGACCTCCCCGGACTCGTCGTTCGGTGATTGCGACAGGTGAGGTGACTTTCGATTATCGGACGGAAGGAAGGAGGAAGTGCGAACGCTTTCTGTCTGTCCGCTGTTTGTCCGTGTGTGCGTGAGAAGAGCGAGCGAGTCCCCGCGGTGCATCACGAGTTATTCCGACGTGAGTGTGCCACATCCGACGCGGAGACTGCTGCAGCGCGGCGAGCGAGAGAGAGAGAGAGAGAGAGAGAGAGAGAGATCGCTAAAATTGGATACCTTCGCCGCACCGAGCGCTCGCGCGACTGACCGCGCGCTCCTGCCGAACCGGACGATGAGCAGGTCGCTTCGTGGACGATAACGAAGGTACGCGAGTCTATGATATTCTTTAAATGGCCGTCCCCGTGCCGAGCGTCTTCAACGTCTGACTCTCGACGCGGAGACGACGCTCCAATTGTCACTCGCGGATAGTGAATGCCTCCTCGCGATTTATTATTGTACTGCAAGTTGCTGAATCATTACATTGTGTATACATCGCAATTGTTAGCGCATTGTCATTCCTATGCGAAATTCTTTCGACTCTTCCGACACTTGTCTTATTGACATTTTCGTGGTCGGTGACGCGATCCTAAAACTGAAGGACGTGAAATTTGCAGTCAAACTGGAAACCTCCTCTGAATCATGCTTTGAATATTCTGTTGATATATTCAACATCATATGCTTTGAATTATTCATTACTTAAAAAATTGCAAGATAAATATATTTTATAAATATAAATAAGATATGAAGAAATTATAAATTGCTGAACCACACAAGAACTTGAAGCATGATTTAACTTGTGTGAGAATTTAATATTTTATTACCTTCATATTCTTTTTAAATCCTAGTAAATCCTAATAAATTTATACATATCACTTATATATAAGTGTATAAGATATACAGGGTGTCTCACACTCTCCTCCGGGCATTTTGTGGGGACGTAGAACAGGTTGAGGTGAACATAAAAGTCCTATACCGTTTTGCGATATTCGCAATAATTATCGAGATATTAATTGTAGAAAATTTGTAAATGATCATGCAGATATGGTAAATGAGTTATAGTAGCGACGACTGCCGTCGTGTACTTATACTTTAGGTCAAATTGAACAAAAAAGTCCTCTACCATTTTCCAAATAATCACATAGATTTTTAATTATTAATTAAAGAAGATTATTGCACGATTTTGCGTGATAATGCACTCATCTTCTTTAATTAATAATTAAAAATCTATGTGATTATTTGTAAAATGGTAGAGGACTTTTATGTTCACATTAACCCATTCTACGTCCCCACAAAATGCCCGGAGGAGAGTGTGAGACACCCTGTATAAGTTGTTATATACATGAAGAAAAAAAATCTGGTGGTATCAAATGAAGTTAATTTCGATTTGAGAACGGTTTGTAGGTTTTGTGTGGTCCAAATTTCGTTCAAAGAATCAGAAATTTCGCGTGTCTCAACGAAAATGCGCAGGTTCGTTGTTTACAATCAAAGTTGACGTTAATATATGACCCGAATTATCTTCTCCAGGGATGCAGGGACTGGTTTATCTCTTAAACAAATCTTTTACATGCGACCTTCGGCATCGTAAATCGGCAAAATGCGCCGGCATAATATCTCTCACGTTACGTGACGCTCATTTCTAAAACTAACAATCGAGCAGCGATTTTGGATAAAAAAGAAAAAAAGTCACGAAAACGGTGCCACGTCAGCGGCCGCGAATATGTTCACCTCGACGCGAAAATTTCACGGTAACGATCACCGCGCGATATCGTCGCGCACGTTCTCGCTGAGAGCCATTATAGAAAGATACGGTTTATTTCATTAAGCTCTCCCTTCCCCCGCTCCACGCACTTTTGCCGACAGCTTAACGCGCGCACGTGTAAGAGAGCATTTGCTGATGCGACCGGCGTGCATTATGCGAGCCGGCTCTGCATAATGATGCGACGGCTTGCTCTTAAGTAACATAAGATATTCCGTTTACGGGTCTGTGGGACAGAAAAGAGTTGACGCTAATACCAATACGTCAAAGTGTCGAACGCGCGCGAGGCTACTAAATTGTATCTATACCCATCGCGCGTGGCCGCGTGTATCTACATATCTATGTATCTATATTTACAATGTCATAGATCCTCCCCGGCTAGATCGCATCCATAGATATCGCGTATTTCTCCGTTACGCGAGAGCTACGTTTCAGCGAGAACGGATACGATGTGATACACGATTTTTTATACGGCACACGCGACGTGTTCTTAATTATTAGCGATGTAGTCATGCAAAAGGGAAAGATAGAAGGGAGAGACGATCGCTCGAGCACGAATTCGCGAGCGGGAATCCGTCATCGGGCACGGAAGACTTGCGCTCCCTCCACTCTTCGTCGTCGGGTTGGCATTCTTATCGGCAATTTCTGGAGCTGTCCTTCATTTGGAGAAAGTCAAATTTCGCGCGGGAGATAAGAGAAACTCCCCGCACAACACATCTAAAATCGGGACATAAGATGTCTTATGCATCGTCTACAATGGCAGTAGGAGTAGTAATAATAAATAAGCAGTAAGTAAATGGATCACAATCGATTATTCTTGAATCGTGAGAATGGAATTGGTCAATTTGCTTACTGCTTATTTCTTACTATTACTCCTACTGTCATTGTAGACGACGCATTAAAGACGTTTTAGAGACGTCTTATATTCCGACGTTTTTAAGAAGTCTTTTGGACGTCTTGTATCCCGATTTTAGATGTTATGTTGTGTACGTCCCTTAACTCAGTCTTTCCCAATGTATTTGGAACATAGAGTGCGTTTCTCACCGCCGGCACGTTCCCGGAAAATTGATGAACTTCTCCTCGCAGCGCTCCTCCGCGCGTCGGCCACCTGAGAGAACGTTTTCGACTCGCAACTCGACTTCTCGCCAAAATATGGATCCCCGCAATCACCACTGCCAAACACCCTGTTTACCTCGGCTGTTCGCCAGGATCCCTCGTATGCGCGCACTTTCGTCAATAGTACGTGTACCCGCGCGATCCGATTTCTCCTTCGCGCGACATCGGTTTCGCTCCTTCGCGATACGCGACACGACTTTCCCTCAGCGGGGCAAGCGATTTCCGCACGCACACCTACGTCACATTTCTCACGGAAAAAAGGAGAAAGTGTCCTTTTTCAGCAAGAGATGGATACACTGAGAAAAAAAAATTTTGAAAGTTGACAAATAGATATGTTAATGATACTCACCTAATAAATATTTGTTAATTCTTAAATATTTTTTTCTCAGTGCAGAGATAATGCGATTATTATACTTAATAGGATATAATCTCATCCTCAGCGGAATATTCTTGTATATCGCCTTAACAGAATTTTTCTAAGACCAAAAAGAAAGTATCTTAAATACAATATTGTGCCTTAGAAGGAAAATAAAATATTATTTCTTCAAAGGAAAATATTCTGAGCATATTATTTTTGTCAAAAGAGAAATATTCTTTCGGTAGAAATTTTCGTTTAAAATACGAAATTACAGGAAATAGTGCCTTGCAACTAGAATTTTTTTTGATGTTAGAATATTTTTCTATAGAATGTTTAGAAGAATCTCTCTTTGAGATCAGGCGCTGGAGGATTTCGCTAAGGATGAGATTGTTTTTTTTGGGGGGGTTACCATTTTAGATCCTTGTCTTCTAAGAGTGTTTACAAGAGAATAATTGACATTATTGTTACGTAATTTTGGATTAACATATACATATATGTATATATATATATATATATATATATATATATATATATATTTATTTATATTTATATTTATATTTATATATTTATACATATCAAGTTACACACTAAAAGAAAAAAATATCTAAAAAATAAAAAATATTTATTCTGTGTAGGCACTATAGTAACATATTTATTTATGCAAATATAAAATATTTTTTCAAAAGAAAAAAATATTTACATTTTCTCGAAATTTTAGCTTTTCACGAGAGCACAATTATTTATTCCATTTCAATGAAAAAATTTAAAAAGATTCAAATAAGTATGCCATTGATATCCACTAAATAAATATTTGTTACCGCTTAGATATCTTGTAACAAGTAATTACAGATTTTTCTGATAAAACGAAACGATTGTAGTTTTACATAGTCATAATTTTATGAAACAGAACAATGTATGAAGTGTTTCAAGCTGTCATCTTGCATTCACTTTTCGCATGTGTCGTTTCATAAAATTAACAATATAAACAAGCAACCGAGATATATAATTGTTTCATTATACCGGAAATTACCGATTACACGATCCAATATTAACCGCCTTGTCCGAAAAGAAACGAAGGCTCGGCAAACAACCCCATTGATGTGTCTCTCCCACTGGCGTTTCCGCGCGCGGGTGTAACGAATCGGCGGATGTTTCACGACAAATTATTGTCCGCGGGCCCAATTGTCGATCGGCCACGCTTGACACTATCGTTTCACGCGTCCGTTGATCCATCTGTCCGCGTAGATCAGCGCGCGCGATCAACGATGAATCGCGTCGTCGAGCGTTGCGAAACGCGGGTCACGCACTCCTCGATAACTGCTCGAGGAGCAGCAGCGGGCATTATCCTCGATCGAGCCCGACGTCGTTCCTCGTTCCTTTCCTCCGTGCCGGCAGGAATCGCTGCTTCGAGATCTTAAAGCCGTTAGCGCAGAGGTTCCCAAATCGTTTGGCCGCGCTCCTTTCGGTACTCTCGTTCCTCGAATGCTGACTTGAACCTTGGCCTCTTGACATACTGCGCGGCGCTTTCTTCCGCTGATTATTTTGTCTAGATAGCGAACAAGGACACGCGAGGACCTCTCTTTCTCTGTCTCTCTCTGTCCTTCCTCAATTTTTCTCCGTTATCGCTTAATATTTCCGCGGCGTCCAGTTTGGGCACCAATGCCGGGCTCTGGTAGGTGAAAGAGCACAATGCGAGCGAGCGAGCGAGCGAGCGAGCGAGTAGTCGAGAGTGACTCAGAGTTCGAGTATCCGTGGCACAGAAACTCCACGACGACCATTGTGGACGCCTTTCTTTCGTCGAGCTTCACAATCCGCTCACGGAATTCGTAATATCGTAGCACGCGCGGCAAACGAGAGTCCGCATTGTGCCGTTAGAAATAGAGCGAGCCTTGTCGTCGTTGTCGTCATCATCGTCGTTGTCGTCGATATCGATCGTGCGATGGATTATCTCGGCTCGCGTCGCGTCCGCCGTTGTGATTTGCGTATCGATAGCGCGAGAATGGATGGTTGCGTTTGTTTTTACGTATCGACTTGTGTAACAAATGATTTCGGATCTGTTTAGACAAAATGAAATATAATGATTGGGACAAAATGAGACGATTTCTCAAAGTTTCTGAAGAAATTGCGTTTTCATTGTCGTTATATAATTTTACGAAACAGTGCATGCGTTGTTACGATCTTCTGCCACATTGCATACATTGTTGTTGGCGAGATTAAAAATAACGACGTAAAAATAACATAATTGTCTTATTATGGACCGGAAAAATCTAAGATTATTAGGTAACCAAGGTTATATTTCAAAACATCCTATTTGCGGAAAATTTTACTCAATACTTTATAGTATATATAAAATAAGCTGTAGATATTGAATAAAATTTTCCTCAAAAAGAACGTTTTAGAACCCACGTATATTCGTTCACTTACTGGAACTATTCCCGGTGTAAACTCTTCTTTAAATCGCGGCAGAATTTAAGAATAATAAACTTAATAAACGCACTCGAGATATAGTTGTCCATTTTATCGCGTGAAACAAACTGCTAATGCATATAGAACTGCTAATGATATATAGATCTTCATTGGTAAGTTTATCTTGTTAAAGATGAGGTTATTATCAAAATACAATCAAAACGAACACACCCAGGTCATACGCAGTCCCTCGTGTATCGTATCACTATGCGTTTCGCCGAGTCCTTCCGACTAACGCACACTTGTTTTATTACTTGGCTGCTGCACGACGACTCTCTCAAGGTCTCTCTACGGCACGTATTAATAGTCATTACTTAAAACTTGCCTCACGTGGGACACGTTCAAATCTGAATTTAGAGTTGGACGTGGCTTTTCTCCATAGTTGTGCGAATCGCGACTATACAAATATAATGAGACATATACAAGCTCGCATAACAGCCTTAATGTGTGGTATAATTAGGTTATTAGTTTTTCTGACCATACTCACTTGTTTCTATATATTAACATAAAGCTATCGCAGTGATATATTACTGTTTTGACACGCTGCAGCCGCTTCTCTAAATAATCGATAAATAGTACTTCAATAAATGTCAATATAATTGAATATACTATAGCTAGAAAATCCCAATGACCCAATTGCATTGCAAACCAAAGCTATTTCTCCAATTAGAGTTGATCATATCTAGTTTAACTGAGAAACTCAGATCTAATCTTAAGTTCAGAGACCTGCTATCTCACGTGTTTCTAGTAATACAGAAACAGATTGTCAGTAAGTTTTGTTTTGCTAAGGAATACAGTAAATTTTGCTAAAAACGTAGCATATTTCAATTCCTAAAACGTAATAGCACATATGAAAGATGAAAGGATAATCAATTACTGTAGAATATCGATCTATTCCTCTCAGTTACAAAATTCTCTGGTAAGTTTTACTATAAAACTCTCTCTTCTCGTGTATCAATGCGGATTTACGGTGTCTGTCTTTGCATCACTCCTCGTTGTCTTATTTTCGCTGACTTTCTAGTGTGCCTTGCAACATATCGCTATTCTAACGCTGACTTCTAACACCTTCGATTAACGCTGAATTATTGTCCCGAGATCCACGCTTTCTCAGGACCTTATAGCCCGTCCGTCGACCTAAGTAACAATGGAATCCCGGAAAAGCGGGCAACAATATCCGACAGAACTCTCCCCGCCCCCCGCTCCGAAAACTGACGTTTTTCCCGACGCACGCAAGTTACGTTTGACCCAAATACAAAATGTGCCTGTCTCGCAGACAGGAAGAACCAGCGCGCGGAATGGGGGACGGAGGGGATGAAGGGGGGCGACTGTCGTGACAGTACAAAAGACAGGGATATATCGATAACGCTGTCGGGCTACTCGGGAGTAACGTGGCGTGAGTGCCACTTCCATTTTCGCCGCCCTGCCCCGCCGTAGAGCACAGTGGAGATCGGCTTTTTCGGTGTGCGTGCGCACAAACGTCTGGAACAGGAGTTCCAGACGTTCGCGCGACACAGAGAGCGAACTCGGTGCCGCAGATACCATCATTCGCGCGCGAGAGGGATGCGAGAAGCGTGAATGCGCGACAGGAATGCCAGGATATGCAGGCCACACGATAGAGGGGAGGAAGGGAGCAGCAGAAGGGCTCGATTGAATCGCGGTGTATGCGAAGTCGTAGGTCAAAGTGTACCTGTTGGAGAATCGGGAAGCCAAGACACGTGAGGAAGATGCAGTCCTTTCAGGTGAATTAGCACGAATGTCTTGGATTGAATCGGCACACTGAGAGAGGAAGAAAGAAAAATATCTAAAAAACAAAAAATGTTCATTCGGTGGGTATTAATAACGTATTCACTTGTTCGCCAATTTTTATGTCGAGCAAACATTTCTTTCAAATGAGAAAATATAAATATTTCCCCAAAATTGTTGCTTTTCAATCGATTTAAACGAAGGAATTTAGATTTAAGTAGACAAGTATTAGTATCTGAATACAACGCGAATAAATATTTTTCGTTTTTCAGATTTTCCTCTATTAATTTTTTCTTTTAATGTAAAAGAAGTGTATTTCACCGATGATTAGTGAGTATACGAAGAAAATATTGTAGTAAAAATTACAACACACACAATTTCAGTAGTTCGGGAATAGAGTGGCACTATCATGAAAATTATAATAAAACACAACCATAAACATGATCATTTTTACTACATTTTGATAATTTTTTACTATGTTCATAGTCACTTTTTTACTATGTCCTCTTTATAGTTTTTTACCGTAATATTTATCCGCAGAATACTAAAATCATATTGTAATTTTTATTACAATATTCTTCCTGCATATTCATTGATTTTCAACGGCAACACTTTACTGCTCTATCTTGCATCTCACTGATTGTAACCACAGAGGAAGTAAGATTTAGCTAAAAAATCTGCACATACAAATTCGTTGCGCTTTTGACGATGTAATTAACTCTTTGCAATGATATGGTCTATGTTTGTAATATGTATCAATGAATAGGAACAGTCGGTATTAAGCGGTTCTTTCAGCAAAATTACAGTGCTATATTTACAACTAGGCTACTAGTTATGAGTACAACATTTCAGTGGAAAATGCATTGCATTTTAGAGGGCTCGCGCGCGCGCACGTTCATGTTCGGCGGCACGAATGTGCGAAAATTTCGCGGAGAATCCCGCGATTCGCTCGCAGGAGAACTCGTTCTCCTCTCCTTTATTTAGTCTCGCACTTGGCACTAATAATTTCACCTGTCCCGATATGAAAGCCGCGAGCTGACAGCGCTGCCGCTCGGACGCTCACCTCGATGGGAATAACTCCGGTTAATGGAAATACCAGTGGGGTTTTAAGGCGCGCGCGGCCGAAAAGCTACAAATTGACTGGCGCGCGGGCGCCGTGCGGGGGTGACGCCCCGACGCTCATAAATTGTGCCCGAAGAAGCGCAACAATCATTCCACGCCGCTGGAGTTCTCCGGCGGCGAGGAATTTCGGGCTTAGGCGGGTAAGGAAAATACAATCGCGGACACAGAGAGAGGCCAGTAATTTCAAGGAATATTATTCTGTTTGATCTTACATAGAGTACGACAGGATCTCTGTTCTGGATTTTGCTCGCAATGGATCGAATGCTATTGAGTTCAAGCAGCAGCTTGAATACCAACTTGAGCATAATTTAAGTGTAGAAATATCAAGCAACCTTGCATTCCGCCGGAATCGTTTCGGATAACAATTCGAGTGCAATTGGATATTTATTATTGATATTTTTCTCTTTCCTTCTCTCTCACATACATTGTAATTTATTTATCGTTATTTTCTACATTTATTCCTGCTCTTGGCGGTTCCCGCCGCGACTTTCTCTCCTTAAGTTTTATTTATATCGAGTCGCGCGCGCGCGCGCCACGTATATGTTTGGCCCGGCATCGTAAGCTGGCGCTTGCTGCTCTCGGAAGCAGGTAAAAGCGCGTAAACAGGTTCTTCGTAGACGTATAGGCGGTGCCGTTAAAGCGCGAGCGCGACCGCTTGTTAGTAGCCGGGCATCTTCGACTTCGATATGGCCGTTCCTCGAAGCGATTTCGCCTAAAAATACACCGACCTCACGTACAAATTGCCTCGGTGCGCGCGTGCCGCCAGAAAGAAGTTCGGTGCAGATAACGACTCGATTTCATCTTCTGCTACGCTAATAGCTTTCCACTTACGTGCCCGTTGCGCCTGTCCATTAATCTCTAAGTGGACCATACACCTGTTCGTAAAAGTGTCACGTATGTATTATGTATTCGTGTTTTGCATACCTTCCCTCCTTTCCCCCTCTCTCTCTTTCCCTTATTCTCTTTCACATTAAATACTCGTGAAGCTTCCCGTTGCATAGAAAGAGACGGATGTGCGATTCGAGACTCTAGTCCTCCTTTTCGAGCGTATGTATACAATCGTTACGTAACGTTTTATTATGGGTATTGCCGGCACCTTGGCGAGTCGAGTGTCAGCTAGAGATATTACAAAATCCAAACAAACGTTTGGCCTTGTTTCGACGTTGACACGGTACGCGATGTCGTCGTGAAAGCAACCGCCCGCTCGGTCCGATCGAACGTTACATAACGCGTCACGATCGCACGAGCGAGTCGCCGTTTCGTCAATGAGCTACTAGTTAGACGCAAACTTTACGTATTTACGGGGCGATTCGATGTTTTGCTACAGTCGTATGTTGGTCCGTTCTGTTCTATGCGCGCTCATTACGCTCCAGCTATTATTTATCGCGTGTGGAACTCTCGGCCGCGACCAAGTAGAGCGCGTTTCGCGCGTGTCTCCTCGCGGAAAAATCCGGCTCGGTCCTGGTTTCACGACACTGTGCGCGCATATATGCAGACCAGGCGGAAGAAAACGCGTGAAAAGTTGAGAGGGAAAGAGGAGACTTCTTGAAAGCGGAAGTACGAGCGCGATTTATTTAACTCTCCGCGAACCAGGTGAATAAAAATCACGCTCTGAACCATACGGGGTTTTTATCCTGAGTATTATCCATCTACAAATATATCATTTGAATAAAAATGCACTTTAAAATGATGTTTCCTAATTTGTTTTTGTAGTAAGAATATATATTTCGGAAAAAAATATAGCAGTTTTTAGAAAAACCACCGCTGGGGTTAATTTAACCTCACACGGTTTGCGGAGGATTAAAACTGTTATCGAAACAGTCAAAATGACAGGTCTGCGATTTCTCGCAGAAAATCGCTCAAATTTGTAACGGCGCATTTTGTATTTTTAATTGACATAACACGAAGAGCAAATGAAAATGTTTTCCCTCGTGTTACGTATTTTTTCCTAGATATATTAATTTCGCTCGATTGTATCATTTGGCGATCTGTTTCATCCGTATTATTGCAACAATTTAAATTCATAAGACATTGCTTAAGATGAGTTTATTCGGATTAATTAGAATTGCTCAATTATTATAGAGATTACTGGAGTCTCCTTTTTTCCGCTGATACTTTCTTTTTATTTTTATTTTTATCTATTTTTATTTTTCTTTTTATCTTTTCATTAGCATTTTTGCCTTTTTTATCCTTCTATTTGCGGGTATTTCCCGCAAGTGAACAAATAAATGTCGCTAAATCTGACTGCTGATATAAATAGGTTGTTAATTGTTGATAGTTCGGGCGTTAAAGCGCGTCTATATAATGCCGCGCCGCGAAACACTCAGCTGGCAGTTTTGGCATCGCAGAATTAACGTTCTGCCAACGAACTCCGGCCCTCGTTGCCTCTCTTCTGCGCTTTGTCGAAGCATAAATTGTATCGTCGTCGACGACCACGACGAACGAGCGATGACAGGATTATATTACTGCGAGGTCCCGTGACTGCCGTCGTCATGGCGAGTGATAATTGCCGCGCGCGCTTTCACTCCGTCCGTCCGCGACGATATTAACAGCGGCGTGTCGATATTAAAGCGATAGTTTGTTTTAGCGTTCACAGTTTGGTTTAGCGGCGTTTTGTTCCAGAAAAATACGCTGAAACACCTGCGCCGACTCTCACAGATCCGACGTCGATTTTTGATATTTTAGTCTTCGGGAAAATGTCGGATTTTTTCGTAGCACCATCGTGACAGCGTCATCGAAATACTGCGCGTTCCGGATCCATTTACTTTTCTCTCGGGTGAATTTTTAGAACGAATGAGGGGAAGGAGGATCGCTGAGAAAACAAGAGAATTGTCCGGATAATTTGTTCTCGTCGGATAAGACGAACGCGGGACGGATGATTCACATATTGGCGACGGCTACGAATGATCCTCAATTGGAAGATATTGACCTTGGGCTGTGAATCGTCTTATCGACGGTTATCAAAGTGCCAACGCGTACACATTGTTTTTCCGCGAGTTTTTTGGCGCGTCGCCAAAAGACCCGATATTAGAAACTCTATCATAGTTTTAGTTTCCACAAAGGACAAAGCGGCCATATGTCGAGCAGTGACTCGCCGTCTCCACTTGCGCCGCGGTCGGTATCGATTATTAGCGTGCGCGAAACTTTTTCAATTATTTCGCGCGCCTCGCCAGAAGTCACTTGCTTTCGTGCTCGACATAGATGTGTATGTGTGTGTGTGTGTGTGTGTGTGTGTGTGTGTGTGTGTGTGTGTTTATATAGTGGAAATTATTGAACACGCGTATTACGCATTTCGTGACGCGAGCGCGTCCGCGATTCGAAGTTGGAACCGCTCGAATTGGATGCGAGCAGGGTCGTCGACCCAGGAATTAAAGGCGAGAAATTATTCATTGGTATGACTAACGTGAAGATCGATAGCGCCTCGCTGACCAAACTGGAAACGCCACGTAGACGATCGCTCGTAGACTGACACAGCATCTATCAAGCGTTCGTGATATGGGAACGATCGATACGTTATCGGACGCGAAACAGAGAATACGGCGGAACTTTTACCGTCGTGTAATCCGACGAGTTTGCTAATAGTTCGGCGCGGGGCTTACTTTTCTTACGATGTGAGAGAATCCGGGCCAAGAGGGAAAACGAGAGCTTGTACGAGACGAAGTCCTGGTTCTATATGAACTCCGTGGAATGCGAAGGACCAGCGGAGAAATCTCAAGGGGTATAACGCTGCTAATCTTTTGATGCAGCTAATAGTTGCTCAGACCCGTTTTGTTGCAGCTTGAAGAACGGATCTATTCGAGAATTATTTAATAGTCTGTCATGTTCCGAGTAATTGATATCGAATTGCTGAAACTCTCAAAGAGGAACTTACTTAAGGATTATTTAAAATTCAATTATCTCGATAGTCTACCTGCGTTCAGTCTTTCTTCATTTTAAGAAGCAATCTATTATATAACTGCCGACAGAATGTTGCAAGAAGTAACAATCTTTATTGAATCTAAATAACTTATAACAAAGACGAACTATATGATCCAATAAGGATTTAAAGAAACAAGAAACAAACTCTATTTTCCTTTTTATCGCAACGTCAGAAACGCTAATGGGATCTAGAGATTGACAACAGATGAGGAAGGATTTGCAAGCTTCGTCACCGACTACACCCTGTAATCCGTCCTGGGATTAGTTCCTGGCCGTCATCGTGGTCGGGCACTCAATGGTGCACACGAAAGTAGTCGGAACATGGCAAGCAAGTTGACCGGAATCGTTAACCACGCCGTCGTCGAAAGCCAAGGGAATTTCCAAAGCATTTGATCCTGATAACTTTGACGACGCTTTTAAAGGTCCGGAGGATGTTGAAGCTCCGATGCGCGTGATCACCAGGCTACCTAATGTAGCCTCGCGACTGGCGAGAGGCGACTTCTTCACCCCTTTCGAAGTGTTTATTGTTTCGGGACTCGAGCGTCGTATACTTTTCCGTGAACGAGTTCCTTACCTCTCGAGTCAACAAACTGCGCGCATACTACGCGACTTGACACCTATATATAGCGTTGTTTACAATTCCTGTCGGATTAAGATATTTCACTGACTTTTGAGATATTAAACCGGGCTTTCGTCGACATCACGTTTACTAACACGCGTTTTTCCGATTGAATCATATCCACGCGAGTGAATCAGTGCCATCGAGGGTCTTGTGCAACGAAGCAGGATGTTCGATTCGGGACACTAGGACGAAGGACGCAGGAGGCCGGTAGCGATAAGAGAGGCTAGTTGGCTACCGGATTGAGTTGGCAGAACCGATTATTTCTGCTGTTTTCTAACAAGTTACAGAACTATGTAAGCAAAATTTTTAAACATGTCAAAGATGGCTTTGAAATCCCTGCTTGCTTGATTTTAAAATCTGTTAAGAAACAGTAGAAATATTGTTGATTTTTCCAACTTACTTCGGTAGCCAACTAGTCTCGGTCTTCCCTACATCATATACTTCCGGTTGTTTTACATCATTCGTTGTACAGAATGTTCCCGATTTTGACGGGTGATTTTTTTGATCCACTAGGGATCGCTAAATTCAAATCTGAAGTCAGAATTGCAAAATTCAAAATGGTGCATCAAATGGCGGACTGGAAATTCAAAAAATCATTCAATTTGCATAAAAATTTGAATTTAAAAATTTTTGAAACCGCTGGTTTCAAGTACAATATAGAATTTCATGAATTCAAAATGGCAAATTTAGTATGATGGACAAAATATGGTTCAATTTGTGTAAAAATTGGAGGGATTTTATTTATTTAAAAATTTTGCAACTTTTATTGAATTCATCAATAAAAATCTTAATTTAGAATCGAAAACAGTGGCTTCGAGAGACCCTCAATACAAATCTTTATGCGAATGAAACGATTTTTTGGATCTTTGAACCGACATTTTGAAATTTTGACTTTCAGAGCAGCAACTGAAAATAATCGCAAAAAGTAACCTTTTTATAATTTTATTAACTTTTTTGTCAAAAGCACTTTGTATAAGCACTTTTTCCGCCCAACAGCTAAGAGGTTAACCTCACGTTCTCCGACTTCCTCATAGCGATTCTAATCTTTCCTACTCTCGGTCGTTTCAAGCTCCGCGAGGTGTTTTCGCCAGGCAGTGGGATGCATTTCGTTCGGGCCGGCCGCACGAAAGCAGTTCCTCTTGGAGGTAGTTATTTAAGATAAGACACCGGTCGTAAAATCTTTCTACGGAGGATGCCGTGTATCGCTGAACATCTCCCGCGAGGAGGACGAGTCGGAATCGTTCACCGGGAGAGAGAGGAGACTGGAGGGACCACCGAGCGAGCGAGCGAAAACACAACTCCCTTGCGAACGTTAAGGCGAATTTACGCGTTCACGCTCGATCATCGTCGTGGA